TTTTTTTTTTTTTTTTTTTTTTTGAGATGTTTAGTCTGGTTGAATAGACTGAATATCTAGACTATCTCTTGGGATTGATCTCATCTCAGTTTCTCATTCTCCAATCCAGAATACGAGACACTGTACTGTATCTGTACAGTACATTACAGTGAGTGGTTCTCTATAAAGTGGTTCGTAAACTCTGATGAGACCGCCAAGAATTGATCATCAGCGCCATCGAATTAAAGCGCAGCCCTAAACACGGTACCTGGCAGATCAATTGAGTTTCCCTAAACAAATGGATGATCCAACAGTAACTCGAAAGCATTGCATTCAACCCTTGTCTCTTCTGTCATGTTGTGTAGCAGTTAATTGGCACCTGCATTCTGTTCTCCCACTTTCCGTGCAGCCGTGCGAGCGTTGGATATTAACAGCTGACGACGACACCTTAAGCCAAGTCCAGCTGCAATGCCGTTGTTCCGTGCAGCGCTTGGAACCCGACTACACTACAACAAGTTTGACTCGATACAAGCCCCCAATCGCTTTAGTCCCTCGACCAGAACCTCTGTCTCGCAGACATAACCCATTCTCACATAGCCTTTGAAGTCCTCGTCGCTACCAAAACATTTCGAACCCGCCACTAGCAACACGTTGTGCTTACGCAACAGATCCAAGCAAAAGTCGACGTCGTTAACAGGCTTACCATCCTTACTGAACCGAACAAACGCGGTTGTACCGGCTGTAGGCTCCACCCATGAGCATACCGACTTGTAGCGAGCGATAAACTCCTTGACCAGACGCGAATTGGTTCTCGCCAAGGTCAAGTTACGATCGACAAGAGATGGCAGCACTGCTGGCGACAGAGCATATCTCGCGATTTGGTCGTCTATCTGCGAGACGCTGATGGTCGTATAGTCTCGTGCCGCCATCACCGCCGAGATAATCGATTTATCCTTGCTGGCAATCCACCCAACTCGGATGCCAGCCAGAGCATATCCTTTCGACATGGATCCTGTCACAATCGACTTTTCGTAGCCCAAGGTCGTTGCTGGTTGCGGTACTTCCATCTCACCAGAAGCTCCCCCGTGGAATAGCGGCCGGTAAACCTCATCTGAGAAAAGAATTATGTCTTTTTCCTGTGCGATTTGGGCAATACGTTTTAGCACACTGTTCGGGATAGGTACTCCCGTGGGGTTGTTGGGATTGTTGATTATGATCATCTGGCACACCATGTGAGTCGTAGTTTTCTCAACAATTCTTTTATCCTCACCTTTGTGTTTTTCTGGATCATGTCTGCCAGTTCATCTGTGTTGGGCACGCAGTTTTCTTCTTCTTTCAACTTCCACAGCGTGACTTCTGCGCCAATGCTGCGTGGAACGTCATATAGCTGTTGATATGTTGGATAAACGCAGACAACATGGTCCCCCGGTCCCAGGAGGCTAGATAGAGATCAAAAAGGTGTTCAAGGTACAGTACAGGTGGTTGAAGTATGTTTTCTGGCCTACCTACCTATATAGAGCCAAGAAATTGGCACCAATTGCACCTTGGGCAACGACAACATCCTCAGCGGCGAGCCGAGTGTCTTCGTTGCTGCAAATGGCAGCAATTCGTTCTCGCAAAAGGGGCGAGCCGGGAATAGCACCATAAGTAAGTTTGATGCTTGTATCAATAGGACCTGGCGTCTTTGCGTCTGTACACATACCCACCAAATCGTCTATGGAAACCGAAGCAGCGCATGTCTCTGCAACGTTCAGGACTCCAGGCGTTGTCTCGTACTCGTCCATCCATTGTTCGACGGCGAAGGGGGCAATCCGGACCATGTTTTAGCTTGAAAAGTTTTGTTGTTCTGTGTGTAGAAACTTTCGATTTGCAGCTGAATACTTCTAACTTGAGCGGACGTCTGTAGCAGCCTTATAAGCTTGCCCATAACCATGAAACTTCTATACTGAGGCACGTAGGCACGAAAGAGGTGGGTCAGCCCGACCCACTCTTGCACGCCCTTCTTAATGCCTTTGAACGCCCTCTACTCGACGATAAAGGAGGGGACAATCTAATGTCTTTTATACTGAGATGGAATTGGATATTTGGTTGCCCTGGATGCATTGGGGTTACCATAAGAGCTTAATTTATCAGGAGTCAGTGACTGACTGCCCTATCATATCTTGACTCTACTCTGATATGGATGAATGATTTGTTTGAGCTTCCCCCACAAAGCTTGATCGAATTAGCTAGGCCGATTGACAGGGGTAAAATCTGGGGGAGAACGCACCAAACCAGTCGTCCATTTCATCGACAATCGATGCTAGAAGTATGGGCATCGAGAGCTTGATTGAACATTGGTTACTGGTATCATGACACCTACCATGTCTAGGTATGTTGCAAATCAGGTAAGCACTTTCAGTACTATCAAAGGTGACTTCGTATTTGATAGCATCTGAAATACGCAACTCAGGCTCGGTAATCAAACAGTCCATTAGTTCATTGAGACCTGGGCGTCTGCGAGTGGCAGCCCAAATTACCCTCATAACTGTAACCAAACTGCTTTGCATCACGGGCGACATGAATGATGCATATTCTGATTCTCTTACCACATGTGACCTGGCCACTGGCGCTCTCCGCGAACAACATGAAATAGCCCAGAAAAGATTATGACACGAGGCGAATGGAATCCAGCGCTACATAGCGCAAAGCAGATATGATCTAGCGTCCTATAAACTGAACTCACAGCCTAAGTGAAAGGCGAAGAGACGGGAAAAGTAAGTATCATATGAGCCAAGTTTAGGGTAGTGTTCCTAGAGGCAAATAAACGAGAAACTAGGACTAATTGAGTTTGCCGAGACGATGATAGCTCTAGAATCGGGATGGCGATAGCATTTGCATGCGTGATTTTAATGTGGCCATTCGTAGTGAATCATGAAATGATGATTGTCGTGGTCATGATAAGTCCTTCTGCTAGATAAAGTCCATGTGAAGTTGTCTGATCCATAAAAGACGGGGGAAACGCGCCGAGGTTAATGACGTCAGTCCTGTATGAAACATGATCGCGTGTCAGCGCGCATATTCTTCGTGTAACAAAGGCATTGTCTGGTTGATTTGAAGATACTCGCAATCAACTCAAGATGATATGATACGTGGGCAAAACGACGGTTATCATTGGCCTGTGCAGGCTTTAGAGGTGAAGCTGTCATAGTTTCATGGTGCTGGTTGCGAAGCATGAAGCATACGCTGGTCCAGATCGAGTCATGAGACCCATAGTTAGCGGCTGTGCCAACCAACCATAACTTAGCTTTCGGCCATCCCCAGCTACAATGCACCTTCCGTACCTGCCTCCGGTGCCTAAATGGAACGCGGGGCGCCACTCCTCGGCCAAACAGCTTATCCCGGGTCGCGCTGATACCATACAGTACAGTACATACCTACCTGGGTCGCTTAGCCGCTCATCGCTCAACGACCGACCAGGTTTCACCACCTGCCATCAACATCCAATTGTTCCATCACCAAACTGCATCATATTCGTATTGCTGCGGTTATGGCTCCTGCGTTGAGGAGCCTCTTACTAGGTGCTGTGGCCTTTTGGCCTAGCATCGTGATGGCCTCACAGAACGCAACCTATTCGCAGGCCGATCAACTACGCGCACAGTTGGCTTTGATGGGTGACCGCCCAGATGGTTGTCCTCCATGGTACGTCGATACTGACTGCTATCAACATAAGCGCATTACTTTTGCTGACTCACATACAGCTTCAACTGTCTCCTCCCAGCTCACACATGTGCTCAATACGCCGGCTGTAACGAGTTCAACGGAAAATGCGACTGTCCTGAGGGATTTGGCGGTGACGACTGCCTCGAACCACGTACGACCGCTTCCCATTACCTCGACTTACATCGAATACAGGCTGACAATCTTGCTAGTTTGCGGCTCACTCCCCAAGGGAAAGGATCGCCCAATGCGCTCGGGTTCGACATGCAAATGCGACGAGGGTTGGACGGGCATTAACTGCAATGTCTGCACAGACAACAAAGCCTGTAACGCTTTAATGGAGAAGGGAGAAGGTGGTGTGTGCTATCAGAACGGAGAAGTCGTGAATCATAACTATCAGATCTGCGATGTCACAAACCAGAAGATCACATCTCTGCTTGGCAAGCAGCGCCCCGAGGTGACCTTTACATGCACGCAAGAGGACCAGACTTGCGACTTTCAATGTCAGTTAAATAATTGCGCTTTGTTTCTTCCGCATGCATTGCTAACATAGTTCTACAGTTTGGGTTGATGCTGTTGAATCTTTTTACTGTCACCTCTCCGAGTGCGATTCGACCGCCGATTGGCAGGAGACCAAGAACACCACTTCCTACAAATGTAACAAGATCAGTTGCAGCTGCATTCCCGACAGGATGCTCTGTGGCAAGGATGGGTCTATTGACCTAACGGATTTCCTTGACCAATCGATTCAAGGCCCTGGACGATTTGAATGTACTCAGAAGCATGGCGGCACTCACGACTGCGCTTTCAAGGAACCTGAAATGGATGCCTTGATTCTTGCATTGATTGGCGATTCAAGCATTTTCCTCGACTGTCACGCTGGCGAATGTCTTTACGAGACAGAGGTACCTGGTTGGAAGCGACCCGTGAAACAGATCAATACGCCTCTTATCGCAGGCGTCATTGCAGGCTGCTCACTGTTTCTGGTTGCCGTCATCATCCTGACATGGTATCTGTCGAGGCGAAAGCTAAACTATGGCGCTATCCGCCTCGAGGATTCCGACGATGAGAGCACCAAATTGATGGCCGACCATAAGCCTGCATCTCTCTACTTCGATGACGTTGCTTATAGTCTGAACGGAAAACAAATCCTGACGGGAATCCGTGGTATTTGCAAGCCGGGAGAAGTAACTGCCATCATGGGTGCTTCTGGAGCAGGAAAGACGACCTTCCTTGACATACTCGCCCGAAAGAACAAGCGCGGCCAAGTCAACGGCAACTTCTATGTAAATGGTGAAAAGGTCAACGACAACGACTACAAAAACGTCGTCGGATTCGTGGATCAAGAGGATACTATGCTCCCTACTCTCACCGTTCACGAGACGATTCTTACCAGTGCTCTCCTTCGACTTCCTCGCGACATGGGTCGTGCGGCTAAGGAGCAACGAGTCTTGGAAGTTGAGAAGGAACTCGGTATTCATCATATTCGTGATTCCTTGATCGGATCTGAGGAAGGCAAGGGGCGTGGCATCTCAGGTGGTGAGAAGCGACGTGTTGGAATCGCCTGTGAACTAGTCACCAGCCCCTCGATCCTGTTTCTCGACGAACCCACCAGTGGTCTCGATGCATACAACGCATACAATGTCATTGAGTGTCTCGTAACTCTTGCGAAGACTTACAAGCGAACCGTCATCTTCACAATCCACCAACCTCGCTCTAATATTGTGGCTCTTTTCGACAGGCTGGTGCTGCTGGCGCAGGGAAGGACCGTCTATTCCGGCCCTTTCAACCAGTGCCAAAGCTACTTCGACGAAATCGGTTATGAATGCCCCCCTGGATTCAATATCGCGGACTATCTTGTTGATCTCACTATGCACGCTGGCAGTACTCAGTCAGTTGATGATGGAACGGTTGGCCTCGACAATAGCAGTGTTGGTCCTAGCAGCACTCGTGCGATTAAGTCTGTTGCGAGCATCTCGGGTACCACTTCTGGGGACGATGATGCCGGCTCAAGCAGACCTAAGAACCATCGTAGAGACTCTGTTAAGATTCGCCAAGATCGTGAGTTGTTCACGCGCAGAAAGACAGTTGATACCGCGGCCTCTTCGGATGCTGGAGGCGAGGACAACGGGGCTTACCGACTTCATCAGAACCCTGTGGACACTCTCACCGCCCCTCTTGTGGAAGACCCTCACGACTTGCCTCCGGCAGCGGCCACTGGAACCGACCTCGATGTAATGACGCAGTCATTCATTCATTCAGAGATCGCCCGCTCGACCCACGATGAGATTCAACAAGCCATTAACACCGCAGAGAACGCAAATGGCACCAATTCGAACGGATACACCGCCGATGGACCGAATATTCATGTCAGTGCTGTTGGAAAGGGATATGCTCGCGTCGGATACCTGCGCCAATTTATCATTCTATCGCAGAGGACATGGAAGAACCTGTACAGAAACCCGATGCTCATGCTCACCCACTACGCTATTGCTATCGTTCTGGCTGTTTTCTCGGGTTATCTCTTTTATGGCCTCACCGACGACATTCCCGGCTTCCAAAACCGACTTGGTCTCTTCTTCTTCCTTCTCGCACTCTTTGGTTTCAGCACCCTCACAAGTCTCAATGTTTTCGCTACCGAACGTCTCCTGTTCGTTCGAGAACGTGCCAACGGTTATTACGCACCTGCTACATACTTTGCAGCCAAGGTGCTTTTCGACATTATTCCGTTGAGAATCATCCCCCCGATCCTCATGGGCTCCATTATTTATCCCATGACTGGATTGGTAGCTGACTCGTCACATTTCTTCAACTTCATCTTGGTGCTCGTGCTATTCAATATGGCTGCAGCTGCCGTGTGCTTGTTTATTGGAATTGTTTGCAAGGACGGTAGCGTGGCAAACCTGATTGGCAGTCTAGTTATGCTTTTCAGTCTTCTGTTTGCTGGTTTCCTCCTTAACCACAAAGCGACTCCAAAGGGGGCGCTTTGGCTCCAGACGCTGTCCATCTTCCACTACGGTTTCGAATCGCTGATTGTCAACGAGGTTCTTCAACTTACCCTTGTGGATAGCAAGTACGGTCTCGACATCACCGTTCCTGGCGCAGCAATCCTCAGCTCATTCGGTTTCAACAATGACGCCATGTGGCCTGATATCAGGAACCTGGGCATCTTCGCTGCGGTATTCATTGTCTTATCTTATGCTGCTATGCACATTCTGCTTGTTGAGAGGCGATAAACCGATATGAATTGGGTTTGGAATGGCATTGAGGATATTAGATCGAGAGTAAAGGGGTGGCAGTACTAAATATGATGATAGCGCTGATGGGGAGGTACTGAGTTGGACATTTTTGGCGTTGGAATCGGTTCTTTCTTTCTTTATGGGTAGGTAATTAATTCTTGTGTCGACTTTCATTTTGGATGGCCCAAACGCGCAGAAACAAATACATAGTTTTACAGACTTGGCATTCATTCATATCGTGGGGTTCGCTTTCAAGATGCGAGGTCTGGCATAGTTACAGTAATACATGAAATACAGAATATTGTACAAGCCAATAGAATAGCTTACTCCATCTTTCCACCGGTAAACTCCTCAGCAATTCTCTTCTGTCGCTTCACAGAGCGATCGTACTCGGTCTCATAAAAGTCCATGATCTTTGTAGAGACTCCAGTTGTGCTCTCCAACATATCGCTGATAGATGTTGGCTTGCCCCAAACATCCCAGGTGTTCTCGGCTGCGCCATATTTACCGGCATCGAATCCTTGCTTGTGGAAAAAGTCCTCGGCGAAAATAGTGTCGATCTCAGCTTTCAGTTCTTTCTCGCTGACAATGAAGTTGGATGCATTGATATATAGTTCCATCAATGCATCTCGGCGAGACTCGCGCTTTCTTGATATAATTCCTTGGTTTTTGGCACGTCTCATCTTTGCTTCGTTGAAGCGATTGCCGTCAGGATGGGTCTTGGTGTCGAAAACATTTGACATTATGGTGCTCCTGGTGACCCAATCATCCGCTCGCTCGGGTGCCTTGACGGCCTCGTGATGGTCCTTAAACTTGCGACTTACACGCTCGTTCTGAGCGGCATCACGACGGTTTCGTCGCACCCAAAGCTCCTTTAGACCCGTCTCGAGATTCTGTCGGCGGGAATCGGCCATCTTTTGCTTCCATACTTGACTTTCGTTCTTGGGACTTTGCTTGTGGGCTGGCTTGGGAACGGTCTGTTTGATGTAGTCGGCTTTAACCTTGCGGTTGCCCTCGGGGCGGGGAAAGATTTCTCGAGGCACAGGAAGGTGACCTCTTACACGAGGGAGCTTCTTTTCGTCGGACTGGGGTGGTGTAGGTAGACGGATATAGGATGGGGACTCTGGGGGGACTTGCTCCAGAGTAGCAGCCGAAGTCGAAAACGCTCTCGAGGTTGTGAGGAGCTGGCGGGCTGCCACCCTCGAGCAGGAAGTCGCGAGGCTGAAAGACATTTTTGGAGAGAGCCAGCGCCTAGTCCAGCACTGAATGGCTAAATCTGAAATCACAATTGACGTCGTAACCCTGTCGTCGAAACCGCTTCTCGACTCACTCAACAACCGACAAGAGAAAATCGAAGTGCAGAGCATTCGGATCAATTTTTCCGGATTATCTTGATCCGATGCAAGAGACCCCTGACAATGCGCCCCGCCGCCAACCACCGCGGGAAGTTAGTGGGGCTCATTTTCTGCTGCTAAGAAAAAAGTTCTGGAGGAATAAATTTCTCGATCGCCCATCTTTTCTTTTCATTTGCCTATCTTTGTCGCCAGTATCCTCGACCAACTTTTTCACCATGGGTACTGGAAAGAAGGAGGCCACCCGGCGCGAGCGCCAGGGTAAAGGTGGTGATGGTCTCAACAATGTTCGCACCAAGGGCGAAAACTTCTATCGGTAAGTCATTGGATTGCGGTCGCTGGCCAAGCAAGACTAACAACTATGATAGCGATGCGAAGAAGGTCAAGCACCTTAACATGTACAAGGAGGGCAAGGCGCAAAGAAACGCTGAAGGCAAGATCACCAAGGCTGCCTCGTTCCAGTCGCGCGACGTTCCCAACGCTCGTATCGAGCCGAACCGCAAGTGGTTTACAAACACTCGAGTCGTCTCCCAGGACACCCTCAACGCCTTCCGTGAGGCTATGGATGAGAAGGCTCGTGACCCATACCAGGTTCTTCTCAAGTCAAACAAACTTCCTATGAGCCTGATTCGCGATGGGAAGGAGAAAGACACCGAGAATGGGATCAAGCAGCACAAGGCCAAGATGACTGTCGAGACGTCGCCTTTCTCTGAAGTCTTCGGCCCCAAGGCGCAACGCAAGCGAGTCAAGCTTGGTGTCAGCAGTCTCGACGATCTGGTCGGCGACACTGAGAAGAGCATGGACACATACCGTGACCGTCTGGAACAGCAGAAGCTTCTCAGTGGTGCCTCCGGTGATCCTGAGACTCTTGGTGATGCTGATAAGCCACTCACCATGTCGATCGAGCCTGTATTTGATAAGGGTCAATCCAAGCGTATCTGGAACGAACTGTACAAGGTCATCGATTCATCAGATGTTGTTATCCACGTTCTGGATGCTCGAGATCCTGTTGGAACCCGTTGCCTGAGTGTTGAAAAGTATTTGAAGGAGGAGGCGCCTCACAAGCACTTGATCTTTGTCCTGAACAAGTGTGACTTGGTTCCTACTAGTGTAGCAGTAAGTTTTCATTCTCTCTTACCTCCCTTTACAACTATCCCCTTTATACCCCAATGTTCTTTGTCAGGATTTGTTCCCTTATGTACCATGGAACCTGTCTGTTATAACGTTGGGAGATTAACCGCCAGTCTCGACTGTCGTCAACGTTTTGTTGTTCGGCTGATGTGTGCCGTTTTGGTTACCATCATGAGACAGGCCAAGTGTCCGATTGAGTTGAAGTCTGCCTATGCCATTAACCAATTACGGGGCATCGATTGCATACTTCTTAGTGATGACACAGACATATCATACTTCTGAATACTTGTTTTTCCCTCTATCATGAGTTCGAAAGCTAATTCGACATAGGCTGGATGGGTTCGCAGTCTCTCCAAAGAGTATCCTACTCTTGCATTCCACGCTTCCATCACAAACTCCTTCGGAAAGGGTTCACTCATCCAACTACTCCGACAATTCTCCTCCCTACACGCTGATAGAAAACAAATCTCTGTCGGACTGATTGGTGGTCCCAACACTGGAAAGTCCTCTATCATCAACACCCTCCTCAAGAAGAAGGTCTGCAATGTCGCGCCTATCCCTGGCGAGACCAAAGTATGGCAATATGTCAGTTTGATGAAGCGCATTTACTTGATCGATTGTCCTGGAATTGTTCCCCCATCATCCACCGACTCTCCGACTGACCTGGTCTTGCGCGGAGTCGTTCGTGTTGAGAAGGTTGAGCATCCCGAACAGTACATCCAGCCCCTCCTTAACCGGGTAAAGCAACATCACATGGAAAAGACATATGAGCTGAAGGGATGGACAAACTCCACAGAGCTCTTGGAGCTCCTTGCCCGAAAGGCTGGTCGTCTCCTCCGTGGAGGCGAGCCTGATTTAGACGGTGTGGCCAAGATGATCCTCAACGATTTCATGCGAGGCAAGATCCCTTGGTTCACTCCTGCGCCAAAGGCTGAAGGTGAAGTCGACGGTAAGGTTGGAAACCGTGAGGGACGACTCGGAGAGATGCCTCGGAAGCGAAAGCAAGAAGAGCCAGTAGAAGACGAAGACGCTGAGGCTGAGGCACAGCTTCAACAAGAAGCTGAAGCTGCTCTTGAGAAGGCTGATGGTGCCGATGAAGAGTCAGAATTCGAGGGGTTCGGCAGTGATACAGAGGAAGCGCGATCAAGAAAGCCGTCCTTTGGAGCCACGTTAGATGCTGAGAGTGAGGGCGAGAGTGCTGAGGATGAAGTGATATCCATCGGCGCCTCTGACGAGTTAGAAGAGGAAGAGGAGGTGGAGGAAGAACAAGCGCCTGCACCTGCGGTTAAAAGTAAAGGAAAGAAGACGAAGGGCGGTCCGCCTAGCAAGAAAAGGAGGACATAATCGGCCTGGAATCGGCAAATCTCTATATTCATTCGAGGCACCTGCTTGCGCATCCTCAACAACTTAATGATACCCACGTTAATGCTTCCACCATCTTGAACCTGTGTCTTGGCGTAACATACCGTTTCAATCCTGACATGACTAGTGCCGCTATCATGAGAGTTCGATCCTTTGTCTTGAGATTCAGGTTGATGATGTGAGCAAGACACCACACCAATGCGTATAGGGTAGGACGGTCTTGGATTATTTTCGGGCTGATGCACATTGGTTGGATATTGGAAGTTACTGGTTAAAGTAGAACTACATTTGGTTGGCAAGTGTACACTGGCAGCTGTATGCAGTTCTAACTGCTCTGAGCAATGTCAATGCAAATGTCAAGGTAGGTAATCTAGTTGTGATGAGGATACAGAGAGCGGTCTCATCGATGTTCATATAACATGCCTATTCCTAAAGAGATCATAACAGCCCAGTTGCCTGTTCTGTTCTAGTTCTATGTAGATGCTATTTGAATGTTGGCCAATTGTTCGCATAACAACGCGTTGCAACCACCACTCAGTCCTTGATAAAGCAGAAAGCATCGCAGACCCAGCCAGGCATTGCGCGGGCTAAAAAGGTTAAAGCAACTGCAATAAGAGCAAAAGAAAAGGAATGCCTCCACACTGGATTGAACAATGGACCTTTGCATTACAAGTGCAACGCTCTACCACTGAGCTATAAAGGCATTTGGTTGAAAGAGGTTTTCGGAATTGATCTATAAGACCCTTGCGGCGCATGCATAACTTACTGTCAATTCGAGTAACCTCATCCCTTCCAGGCAGTCTAGGCTTCTCACTATTGCCCCTTCTGTATACGAATCAGTCAAGAATTCTGGTCCCTTATCGTATAATAAAAGCTACTTTTACAACAGCATAAAATTCTCACTCTCTCTTGTTAATCAATACCAATGACCAATGCTTGACCTCTTTACAGCGATGACCTTCTACATGTACTCTTATGTGGGATATTCATTTAATGGGCTACTCTGTGAGGATGAAGCCAGGGAAAGCCAGGCATGTAGTTACTGCATACCTATACTAGACACTATACAACTTATATCTCCCCAATTAAGTGATGAAGTGTAGGAGAGGGACAAAAAAGAGAAGCACAGGCTTTAGAAGAATAAAGCAAATGCTGGGTAGACAGGTTAAGCGAAAGGCAAAAAGTTAAGCTGTAATGCCCCCGCACTGGATTGAACAATGGACCTTTGCATTACAAGTGCAACGCTCTACCACTGAGCTACAAGGGCGCTTGTTGATAACGAAAGCCAGATTTACTATTATATACCCCATTCGTGGGGATCAGTACCACACCTCTTGTCATCAAGATGCAAAGCTTCATGGTTGTAATACCAGAAAGTTCAGCCAACCAGTTACGTTGTTTTAATCTCTTGGGAATCCAAGACTTATAGACTCACCGGCCCTCTACTGTTCATTTGAGACTTGAACAATAGAGCTAAGTAGGATGGATCTTGCCTCACACCTGTCTTGCTTCAACACAATGTCAGTTGACAACCAGTAAAGCAAAACCTTGCATGCTTTTGTGAAGCGACCCTTTTTGGCCTTGTTCTGTCTGTAGTATATGCTAAAAAGCTATTGAAGCAATCATTCGTAATATTTCGAGTTGCTATGTAAAGATGCAACCGAGTGCTCTTATTTCTCGGTAAGGCAACAGCGAACCTAACTTTCGTCCCTTACACTGACACTGACACTGACACTGCCACTGCTACTGTCACTGTCACTGCCAACTCCAGCTTTTATTTCTCCTTCTATAATCTCCAGCGCTACTTCATAAAACTGCATGTGCCTTCCCGCGCTCGAGCCAGTCTCTTTCATCCTTGTTTGTTCAACGTTTTGTACAGGTACTGAAGATAACCTCAACATCCACATCGCCATCAGCATTAAGCTTCGGTATTAACTCTCCAACATACATTTACGCGGACATTATCGCCTTAGGCTCTGAAGCCAAAAAGAGTTTAAAAAATGACTGCTACCGCTGCAACCCAGGAAGAGCTGCTTCTGCACTCCAAGTCAACGCCCCGAGTTAGAATCAGAGCGAGTATCCCAGGCCGATCAGCCAACGAATCCCCCGATCCCCTTTGCGAAGATATCGACGATTCCTTGACTATCAACAGCGGCAGCAAAGCTCCTTAGGGTATGTGTGACTCTGTATCTGAAGAGACTGAAGACTGATTTGAGCTCGCAGAGGGAGTATCCAACCGCACGCCCCCAGAAGAGACCAAGGACTGTATTGAGGTTGCCGGAAACTGCACACCTATGGCTTCTCGTAAGCGCGCACCGGTGAACTGGAGTCCAAGAAGTTCAGACCAAACCGCGGACAACATCACAGTGAATCCCCAAAGCCTCGGCGCATCGCAGACTTTTGCTGCACCTCGACCTCCGACTGTATCGCGAGCTCTTGCCGCACCCCAGCCCTTTGCTGTACAGCAACTTCATGCTGCATCACAGCGAGATGCCGATAGTCCCATCTATGACCTTACGGCACTTCCCCAGCCAGCTCATTTTCCAGTCGGCACACAGCCGTCCAGCAGACCACCCTATGATCTCTCACCTAACGCACTGGCTAGTAACCAGAATCGTTGGGGTCGACGCCAAAACTCCAAGCAGAATAAACAAGATGCGTCGAAGGCTCCAAAGGTTGCCCAGGTGTCCAAGAAGTCTACCACTCAACTCAAGCCGACTAGGAAACATGATCGCAATGGTATAAACAACGAAGACTCTACCGAACATCGCTTCATCACCACCAATCTTGCAAGCCAGCAGATCCCCTCATTCGATCCGCAATCTATCACCCGACGCCCTCCAGCAATAAGCCCATCTCAAATGTCGGACCCAGACATATACCTCAGCTACCAGATTAACATGAGTCGGCATCTGGCGTATAATGGCGTACCCGGACCATATCTCATCGGCCACTTCCTCTGCGACCTCCACCTTCCAAGCACACAGCTTGTTAAGCTTGCTGTTCGTGAGGTTGATCCTCAGGGTGAAGCATACTGGCGACACCTAATAACAGGAGCTCGTCTAGAGCCTGGAGATGAATCAACGATCGCAGGCAAGCCCGTGGCACTGAGCAATGGATCGTTCCAGTGGCTCGAGGATGAACGTGGTCGAATGATCAAACCCAAGTGGAGGTTCATTCAGCCTCCGAAAAGCGAGAAAGTCGAAGTACCCCAAACTCCCCAGATTCTTAGGACCAGGGACCGGGGTCAGCAGCAGCAAGTCGACCAAGTCTATCCTGGACTTAGGCCTGGTTGTAATCCTCGGTTGTCTTCCTAGATTAGGAGTTCTCAGACAAAAAGATACCCAAGTATCCGTTGATGAGATATGTTGACAACAATAGTGCTTGGAAAGAGCCTAATCTGACCTGACCTGTGTTATCTTGATTATTCAGTGCTGTAGTCATCAATAGACTTGACTGTGAGAGTATGTGCCCTGGGCATCTGCAGACGACTTGAGACTCGAATTGATGAGAAAATAATAATTAATACCTGCATGCTGTACTTATATTAGGTGACCCTCGGGCTGTCAGAAGAATTAACCCAAGCGAGGATAAGAGACGAGATAATTTAGTCATTTTAGGTCAGCTTAGACTGCTTTATTTCTGTTTCCTAAGCCCTAGAGGACAATTCTTCTGATATCCATCTGGTGACTGGGTCAAGCGTGTGATCTTGTTGTTCGAGGTATGAGTTGGTTGTGATTGATTACGGAAGAATTGCGCACCGATATCGATAACATCATCATCGAAAAGGTCCGCCACTTCCTGCTTGAGACTTTAGCTTGAGCCTCGTTGATCTTCCCATTCCGTGCATTCATTACTTATTGCTGGCTTCAATTCTGCAGAGCCCCTCTCCTACAGTCACAATGGGTTCTTCTTCATCCAAAGTCGCCAAAGGCGCAGCGCGAAAGTATCCAGCTCGAGCTCCGGGAGCTGCAGTTCCCCAAGCAGTTGCACGCCAACCAAGGGCAGAGGCACCCAAAACCCAGCCCAAGACTCTAGGGAACAGTGCAAAAGATGAAGGCAAGTGAACCGAAATATGCCATGGCTCTTGGCTCCCCGCTGACTCTTGCTTATAGCTATTCGAACTGATGCTCAAGACCCCGATTTCCCTACTGGCGATTTCTCGCGACGCCTGCACCAGATGGGCATTGCCGACTCGAACCCTACTTACTCGCCTTCGTCTACTGCTGCGACACCGCTCGGATCATCGGCAGTCCCAGGTCCTCACTTTGCACCGACTCGAACCAACCCGACCCTGGTTGCGCTCGGAGCTCGAGACAGACTACAGGATGAGGCCGAGGAGGATTTCGCAAATATGGGACGTGGTGGCCGACGGTTTCTCGACATGAGGACGTTGGTCGATGCCATGAAGTTTCGCGATCGAGGAATACCCGAGAAGGACATTGAAGCGAGATTAAGGATACAACCTGGACTATTGAGCAAGCTTGGTCAAGAGAAGACCTTCTCCCATGTGTCCAGTCCCAATTGAAGGATTCCTTGCGAGACCATTAAGTATCCAAATTGTCAGAACGCTCAGAGGAAATGGGCACTATGATATATGTATAAAACTGTACGAGACGATTGTAATGCAATAGAAGATACCCAACAGCATACTACCCAAGTCCAGGCTATTTTGCGACCCTACTGGTTATACCCAGAAGAATTGGCTGCCGAGAGCATAAGAGATCAAATGATCTAGCTATCTTATAGTAGCTTAAACTAGCATCTGAGCTACTTTACTTCTGTAGCCTAAGCCTTAGAGGACGATTCTTCCGTTACCCATTACTACCACTGTCTCTTTTCCCTCTCCGCCAGCTCTTCATCCGAGAGTCCAGGGCATCCTCCGCAGCTGCACTTGAAGCCATATCTGTCATACAGGCCCAGGGGGCTCAGCCAGTCGTACGAGATGGTGAGTTCTTCGCCGGCCTTGACTACATCAGCCTGGACTATCATCTCTAGAGTTTGGTCGTTGTAATTGTAGTGCCAGTCGACGGTCTGCATAGGGTTGCAGGCATGATTGAATCGAGATGCGATTGGAAAGAGGCCTGCTTCTGAATCCCCATAGTCTGTTGAGAAGCTAAAAGATGTATCAGCTTAAAGGCACTGAAAATGATCCAATTCCCAGTCCCCAACTCACGCATTTGTCTTCCATATGAGCGTCTCAATCGGCCCAGTCTTGATCCTCTCCAGGTTGCTGTTTGCATGGAGGCTGTAAGCGACAGCTCGCAATGGCTTGCTCAGGTTGGCGAAGCCATCGAAGAGGGACTGGTTGGTGGCTGTGAAGAGCGGCTTCTCCACGAGAATCTTGTCCCCCTTTTCAAGTCGGCGAATGGCGAAAGCACCCCATCCTGCAAGCTGCGATCGCTTCACTTGGAAGTAACTGTTTTTGAAGATAACCTCAGTGCTTACTGATGGGATCAGGGGCAACGACGCTGGCTCCATGTTGCGTTCAGAGGGATCGATGGCTTCCATGTCGCCAGTTTCAAGGTTGCGAGAATCAAGAACATCCTTTAGAGCGTCATGATGGGCTGTGACGGTACGGACGAACCTAATGAGCTTGAGTCAGTAATAATACCTTATACAGTCTGAGCAAGATGGTATACTCGTCAGTCGCCTGATCCTCAGAGTCCTCATCATCTGAAACGGAGTCCATATCGGAGCCAGAGCCAAGGTCAGAGTCCGAAGTTCCGCTGTACTCAATCGCCACAGCCTCAAACGATTCAGATAGACCAGTTTCGAACATGTTGGTTTGGTTATCATGTAGGCCTTGATGTGAAGCAAGCGAGATGTCATCTTCGATCTCTTGTTGATTGTCGGTGGACTAAGACAGGTTGTTAATTGTTGTTGAGTCAATTAAAAGGTAGTTTGCACCTCTATCTCTTGTTTGTTACCGGTAGCAATGCGACTGGAATGCTCCTTGGGTTGGTCCTCTGGCTGAGGATCCAGAGTTGAGATGTCATCGACGGCTGATGTAGCCAGGGTTGGCACAAGGACCCGATCGGGGGGTGTTCTGTTGCGATCACTCATCTTGTTTGAACTTGAGATGGATGGCGATGAAAGCGACACTAGTAATGCCTCGAGGCCTGACGAGATTGGTTCACGAGGCGGCTGTAGTCTTGGTTGGGATGATGATGGAAGAAGGAAAAGGCTTTATTGGCAGGGAGTTAAGAGCCTTTATAGATATTCCAGAAGGTGGCTGTGATTCACAGCAACTCGAATTGCTTTTCAAATATTGAAACAAATAAAGCAACAGCCAACACCGAATATGCCGTTACCCATAGTGCATCATGGTAGTTAAAGGTTTGGGATTGACAACACACCTAAAACACCGAAGCAAACTCACAAAGGATATCTCAGTAGAGGCGAAAGCATTATAGATATTCCATTATACTACTTCTGGTAGAACGCTATTGTCCAGCACAATGCTACAAAGCCATCGACAAGAGACACCAAACCCATAACTTGACTATCCTTTCTGGCGAAACATTCATTCTTTCAGTGCACCTACATGATAATTCCAGCTGCCTTGCTTAGGCACAGACCATAAAAGAAAAGAAGTGAGGCTTGAACTGCATGGTTGAGAGCTCGAAACGTGTGAGATCAAATGACAATCTACGGCTCGCATTGCTAGTATTCCACACTAAATCTATGTAAGTTGAAGAAACAGACGGTAGTGTTGCCCAGACTTGCAAACCAACATAAGCTCAAGTACACACTGATGTGACAATTAATATTACAACACGGCATTGGTTCGAAATGTAATAACAGTATTCAATTACTCTAGACCTTTGACATATGTTGCCATCTCTTATAGCCTCTATGTAGGGAAATGAAAACAAGACAGAACAAACAGAATAAATCAAACAGTGCCTCGCTTCTGTCGTTGCCAATGAAAATATCGCCTTTCCCCGACCCCAGATCGAACGAGCGCCCATGCTCCTGCTTCCAGTTGTTGGATTCGCCTCATGCATGGTCGGTGTCTCCATAAGCGTGCATAATCGCTTCGCCAATATCCTCGTCATTAGATGCCCTAATGCAACAGAGCAAATCCAGATCCTAAGCTCACCACGTAGACTGTACAAGTTGACACCACTTCTTCTTTGGTCGCAATGGGCATGTTGAGGAACAGTCTGGGCAACGCAAGCAACCAGGTTTCTCCCAAACTCTTAGACATTCACAGACCCAGAGATTCTGGCCTGTCTTTGTTTCCAGGCAGTCAGATGGTCTGTGAAATCCTGCCTTGAGCCCGCACTCGATACAGAACCGACGCAGCTCTACAACCTTGTCATCGGGCCCGGGTGGCCGATCCGATACGACACGGCCTTGTGGGTCAAAACACGCTGTTGTATCTTGAAGGACGTCAAAGTGCCCGGGACCTCTGACCCGGAAGCAGTAATAACATTCGGAATTGCCGGGTTGGTGTCTCTTTCTTGTCTCGCTGGATCGATGTTGTGGGAAATCCTTTGCTGCTCTCATAACAAACGAGAACTTGTCCAATGTGCTTGCTATTTGCTGAGGAATCACCGAACGGTGGAAGTGCCGATTCGTCATGGAAAGGAAGATGAGAGACTGGTAGTCCAAATGTGAGAAGATGATATTCTTGACTTCGGATGGGAGGCGTTCTATCGTCGACACTCTGACGGCCTGAGGAGGTGTAGGTTGCCAGATTGGCCGACTCACGGAGCGCTTTCGAGTGGAATATTGAGGACGGTCAAGTTCAAGACCAAAGGCTGGGCCATTAAGTCCTGCGTGATGCCTGGGTAGTAAAAGCATGGTGGATGAAAGAAGTTGCGATGGATGAGTGGGTGATCTCGATAACCTTTTTGTGGGAGCGATACGACCTCTATAAGTGAAGGTCGGACCAAGAACAAAGAAGAGAAAAGGGAAGGGATGTATACAATCCTTCCATTTCCACACCAACCTGCTTCATGCATGATTACAAGAGCAAACAAACTGCTGCATCGTCTGTACCTTCACAGCCGACGTGAGTTGAGGGGCAAGGATAGTCTAGATTGCCCTTAACCCGGTCAGTATCATTTCATGTACTGAGCTGTTGGTTCTGCTCCATAGGCTGAGACAGGCAGTTCGTTGGGCCCAAGTAAATTTCCCTTCGGTTCCGTGGTTATTTCCTCCCAACACAGTTGATTGACATTTGCGGTTGGCCTACGGAAGGATTGTGAAGTATTGCTCCGGCCAGAGCTGTTCCGACATGAACTGAGATGACGGCAGCAACCCCTTGTTTGCTTGTCTCAAATGCGTGGGCTGAGGCAAGCCACATCCTACAGAAAAACTAGAGATGCTTTTCTTCAAACGGCTGCAGCAGAAGTGCGTGATGTGCAGGGCCCAACATATTCGAGACAATATGTATTCCGCCTGAGCTTGACCGAGACTACTTAGTCAAGACAGCCTTCTGTACATTCGCGTGGCCTTATGGAAAAGATCGATAAACCCTAGTCGGAGTCGCATAGGCGAAGGAAGCAACAAGCGAGACCAACCGAGAAAGACAAAGACAAAGGAAGGACGGCTGAGGTACAGTGGGATCGAGAAAACGGTTGGGCTGGGCTGGGTTAGGTGGGCGGCCGCATCCTGTCTACAGTCAGTCTTCGATTGACAAGTTTTATCCACATAGTTGCAGCGGAACAAGTCCCCGTCTGAAGCCTCTGTCATGTGAATGGAGCTCATGTGGGCAACGCAGCCTCTATCACCACGATACCAAACTGTCGGGTCAAGCTAGTACCTTTGAGGCCTTGCTCACCTACGGGTGTGTCCAACACACGGTGAGAGTCACCTTTCCCCCCCTGCAAGTCGCAATTTTGGGTAACTCGCCTACAATCCTTCTGTCGCTTGTTGTCTTTCTCGAGTCCTGGACCATGATGATTGCCCCCAAAAGCCCGCAGATCACTTCCTCCGCACCGCACATCCGTCAGCAGCTTTCTTTTGATGTGACAGTTGAATGTACAGTAAGTTGCATACTGGGATCAGGCATCGACTTTGCTTGTTCGATAGATCACTTTATGTCAGCCACGAATATGCTCTGGCTTGTCCTGGCCTGGTCTGAGCTGCATTCTCGACTTCCCGTTGAAGAGAGCTGAAAATAACGGTCTTGGCACATTTGCGATAACCTGTTCTCTCTACTCGGAGAGTGGGATACGAAGCCAAAAGGAAAAGGAAGGGGGGGTTACCACTGTGTGCCATAGACTACTACGCCGCCTGGCACCTCGACAGGTTTGGTCTACGAAGCAGGCGTGTTACTTCGCATTTCTTTTTGTGTTGCTTCGCATGAGACAATTCTTGCAAGATCGTCGTCTCTTCTCGCATTACTTCCCGCCTCAATTGCAGTACGTAGCCCTGAAAAGCATACTGTAAGAGATCTGTAGGGATTGCCTTTGTCGCAGAGCTTGAAACTTCCTTTCGGAGCTCTAAATACCATCACGGACTGGGAAACAACAATGACATTCCGTTTTACCATGCAAAAGGTCGCTGTGCCGCTGGTCTCGCTTGTGAGCGAATGAAAACATGTACAATAGGGATAAGACGTATTGGAAGTTGACCCATTGGGTAACTGCTTGTCAAAGTCGGATGTCTATTTCTCCTGCAAATATGTTGTATATCAATCGTTTATGTGGTCGGCGCTTTCTGTCAATACCCGTAGTGAACCTATGTTCGGAATCCCGCTTAAATCTCGTTGGCTGATCTGCTTTCTGGTTTTCAAGTTTGGTTGGTGTGATGGGATGCGAGTTCTGAATGCGCATAACAACTCTAGATCTATTAAGGATTTCGGACAACGCTGTATGCAGATAGGCTGACAGAGTACCAAAGACAAAGGCGTAACTTTGTTTACTAACATTAGAACAAAGTGGACGATGATCGTCAATTGTTTCATTTTCCTAGCGCCGCTATAAGAAACCATGCGGGGCCCAGGAAATTGAGCATGACATTCGATCTGAGATTTTTGCTCATTGTGGTATTGTACTGTAGAATGGCTTGGTTTGATTGCAACTGTGTTAGAAACCCAACAAAGACGATTGCTTTGAGGGCCGGATGACGAGAATGACTGTAGGAAGGTAATGGCTTAAGAACAAAGCTGCGTGGCAACTAAGCATCACCAAACCATGCATGCATGCTCTTTCAAACATGAAGATGACACCCGGTTGTTTATGCGCTGGCAGTATTTAGGCCAAACATCTTCAACACAGCCTCAGTGCCAACTTGTAATGCCATCCAGTGACTCCGCAATCTCGTTCGTAGATCCTGACAAAGACCCTGTTTCAGAAATCCGACCGACCAGGGGTTCCGCGCTTAAACGTCATAACAATTCCTTTCCTTTGCGCCCCGGTCCAGTCACTCTTTGAACCCTTGATATGACTTCTTCTGTCTTTTGGTGATGCCTTCCATCTTTTCTCTGCGTATACCACACGTTCATTGATTCTGCTTATTGATTTTCACCATGGCGTTATTCGAAGAGGCCAACTGCAGTCGAAATGCGACCGCCCCTACGGCCAGCGACGCGGGCGTCGCAGGCGCTGGTGTAAGCTTTGATTTGAATGGAATTCAAGGGAGGCGCAAACAGCTAACAGAGCTTGACAGATCCTGTTGTCCTTTATGATCACGGCGTTGCTCGCCATCGTCCTATCGAGTAGTGTAATTTTCGCCGAAATGCGAGGCAAGGACTCTGTCATCCGACGGAAGCTGCTCAACGGCTACAGCGACTCTCAAATCATGCAAGGAATTGGTATCCAGAGCGTTGGGCTTGCTAAGATGAACAGTCTCGTGCCATATCACTTTTTCCTCATCTGGATGCTGTCGCTTCTTTCCATGGCGACTCACAACACAACGCTGCTGGCCCTCAAGCAGGATTATCGCCGCGATTGGGTAATTCGATGGTTGCGACAGTTTCTCATGTTTGTCAACCTGGCGCTGTCTTGCGTCTCTGGTATCTTTGTTCTCGAAGGTGTTTCGAAAGGCTTGGACGACAAGACTCTACCTATCGCTTGCGTGTGGAAAGTTGACGGCAACGGGGCTGCGTCGATGGCTGGACTGTCTTATGTTGGAACGATCGTCGTTATCGCTGGCAACTGCATCGTTTTCGGTCTGGCTACTTGGTACCTCCACAGCAAGCAGCAAAGATTCTACAAGGTCATCCAGATTGTCGGGCTGGTTTTGATGACGGCCATCGCGGTCGGTGCCGCAGTTCGCATTATTATCTTGTCCCAAGCATTTGGTAACCCATCGATCGAGCTGAAAGACCAGGGTGAAACCGTCTGGAGTTTCGGGCAGCTTCTGTCCTTGCTCCTTCTTATCCTTCCGCTTGTTAATGTGATCGAGATCTATCGTGGAGAAATCGAAGTGGCAAAGCCTTTCCGAGATGAGCGAGCAAAAGTCTACGACGGAGAACTGCAGGACAACCCACAGGGATCGCGAACGAATTTGTTTCGAAAATAGGGAATAGGAATAAAAATCGAGGCTTGGGTTTTGTTTTGTTTGGGGAAAGTGCGCCTCTAAAACAATATCATCGGGGTGGGATTTTAAGATTAGTCTACGTTGCATGGAAGATACCCTTTGTTCTTTCCTTATCAATTTCCTGTATTCGGAAACCAAAACCCCTTCATAATAATGTCCCATCATATGAAAAGAGCCATCTTCTTGCTATTCCGGTAGGCCCTACCTACTAAGGCAAGCACTATCAGCCCAAGGTATCTGGGTAGGTCGCCTAGGAGGTAGTAGCAACTGCGTTCTTACCTTGGAAGCTGTTGCACCTTCCAGTACACAGGGAAGCATTAGTATGTGTCTATACTTATCCCGTCACTGCTCGCAATCCATCTTTCTTCATCCATCTTCTCATAGCCTCACACTGCATAGCTTCATCGTATCTATCGTCACACCACTTTACTGCTTACTGCAGCATTAACCCGTCACTAGTCTTGGCAGAAATACCGCCAACATCATGTTTGAAGCACAACGAAGGTGGTTTTACCAAATGCGGGACCACATCATCTTTCAGGCTCACAGAACGGGGGTTTATCAATGGGCCGGCCGCATGCTCAGGTTTAGTTCACTGCTGGTGTTGTTTGCCTGCTCTATGCTTGTTTTCTATTATTCGAGGCAGATTAGTGCTGTGAGCTGGGAAATTATGACGAACGCATACAAGGCAGGCTACCAAGGATTGGAAGACTTCCACACCTTCAACTTCGAGTGAGTTTTATCATCGTTCTGTCGGCACACTAGACTAAAGATTGTACAGCAAGCGGACAGCTGCAATAGCAAGCATGAACACAATTCCGGCCACGATAGCAACCATAAGCACAATTCCGGCCACGATAGCAACCATGAACACAATGGTGGTCACTATGGCAAGCATAAATATCCCGGTGGGCTCATCTCCTATCGGCCCTGTCGTCCCCGAGTTTGCAAGTGTTGCACGCAGTCACGGAGTCGATCAAGCCATTGTCAGAGAATATGTATTTCTGGTTGAAGGATATATCAAGTCATGCTATGACAAACCTGTCAGAATGCTTGAACTTGGAATGGGTTGCCGCCGGGTAAGTATCTCGTCCCCTTACACACAGCTGGATATAAGACGAATTATCCTCCAAGATCTAGGCTACAGAAACAAAGTAGCCTAAATGCTGGCTTAAGCTAGCCTAAGGTGACCAAATCATTTCGTCTCTTATGCTCTGGACGGCCATCTCTCCTGATACTCTGGTGACATAGCACAGACTGACAAGTAATGGCAGACCCAGGTAATCAAAGACTTGTATACAACATGGCAAGACTATCTGCCTGAAAACTTTGACTTACTCGCGGCTGAGACACAACCGGTTTGTACGGACTTGACGACAGACGGCCAGCTCAAAAGTAATACGACAGACCCGACAGACTATGTCTACTTTTGGGAGGCGACAGCTGCTTCTCATCTTCTCCCCCCAAGCGACGGCTCCTACTTCCGCATCGATGCAGTTCAGTTGTCAGGACAGTTTGACATCATCATGGACAGCGGCTTCCACACGCTGCAAAGACAACTCGAAGCCTTTGAGAAGTTCTAGAGGAATGTGGCGCCAGGAGGTATCTACGTCTTTGTAGATCCTCGAATGAACTTTCCAACCGAGATAAAACTAGTCGAACGCACTACTACTTCAACATATCTAGACGCTCTTTTCATCGGCATGATAAGGTGTTCAGGAAAGCATATTATCAACAACTATGAGCTGCAAGATATCAATTGCAGAGGAGACATCTGTGTTCTGAGGAAGAAATAAGTGCACAAGCGCATGAGTGAACAGGATGGAATTGATGTGCAGTGGAGTGCTTTGTCATGATTTTGGCAGGATTAACTAGCTTCTGGGTTTCAGAAACATAATTATGTGGTCAGCGTATACAATCAGCGTTCTTTAGGCAGTAGGTATCATGATGTTTTTGTATTAGTTCTAAGCATCGCATTGCATTATCGTTTAACTCGTCTATTGAACAACACACTTTGCGGGCAGTCCACAGGGACCCTCCTTGACCTCCTTGAGTTCTTGCGGTCCCTTGTTCTCCTCCTGCTTTGGTGCAGTGTTCTTTTCAGCCTCGGCAGGCCTGGTGTTCTCAGTCACCGCCGGCGCAGCCTTGGCTTGGCTGCTGCCATGCATTCAACCAGTGAACTTGGCAACGGTCTGGTAGAAGTGCTCTCCCTGGATCTGAGCGAGCTCGAGCTCCTTGGCCGAGGGCTGGCGGGAACCGTCACCACCGGCGAAGGTACCGGCACCCCAGGCGCTGCCACCACGAACCTCAGAGAGGTCAGTCAAGGTACCGAAAGCCTTGGCGTAACCGAAGGGGACGTAGATGATGCCGTGGTGGGTGAGGGTAGAGATGGCGTTCTGAGCAGTGGTCTCCTGACCACCACCCTGGGAGGCGGTAGAGACAAAGATACCGGCCATCTTGCCCCAGAAACCACCGGAAGCCCACTGCTTGCCGGTTTGGTCCCAGAAAGCCTTCCACTGGGCGGGGAAGTTTCCGTAACGGGTGGGGATACCAAGAAGGAAGGCATCGTAACCCTCAAGGATGGAGGGGTCGTTGAGGGTAGGGATATCGGTGGGCTTGGGGGGAGCGTGCATCTTGGCGAGGACGTCCTCGGGAAGGGTTTCGGGGACCTGGAAGAGGTCGGCAGTACCGCCAGCCTTCTCAATGCCGGCCTTCTCGGCCTCGGCCATCTGCTTGATGTGGCCGTACATGGAGTACTAGGGAGGAGTTAGTAAATGGTCCATGATAGCCATAATGGAGGTTTGTGGTTGGAAGGGGAAGTTGTATCATTGAATAGTAAGACTTTGAACAAGCTCGCTGTAGTGTATGGCAAAGTTCAACATCTCACATGAGTAACAGATGTTATCATGGGGAGACAATGATGGCGGGGTTGGGAGCAACAGCAACAATGGATGTGGAGGGGTAAACATACGTAGACGATAGCGATCTTGGGAGCCATTGTGACTGATTTGATGGGTGTCTGAGGGTATCAAAGTAGAGAAGCAAAGATAAGTAGTAGTTTGATGGAGAATGAAGAGAGAGTCGGGAACACAAGAAGAGGGGACCTCGTCTTATAGATAGCTAAAGGGACCTTGGGACGGGACCTGACCTGGGGATGATGGAAGCTTCTACATTGAGGATCCCCGGGCCTCGTGTCCCGCCTAGTCTTTCATGATATCATTGGTGCAACTCTACAGTACTACCAGTTCCGGAAAGTACTCTACTGTAGGTAGTCTGCATACAGATCGAACTGTATGCAAGAAGCTTGGGTGGATAACTCATAAAAGTGGAGGTGAAGCTCGGGATGTATCATGTCACTGAATCATGACACGGGTACCGCAAGAGAGACGAGGAATTGACTTGTCTGTAAGCTTCTACAGATGTCAATTACTATCACGATTACAACCACTACCAAACATCAGTTTTCTAAAACAACATCAAAACATAACAATACTCTCATTTCATTATAATTCTTGCTTTTTCAAAACTTAATCGTCCTCAGATCGTCAGCAGGAAAAAAAAAAAAA